TGTTTCCATGCCTGTGGTTTCCGCTCCTGCGTTGAGCATCTGCCCCTTGGTGGTCAGTGCACGTCATAGCTACTGACCGGTTGGCTGGTCGGCCGGTCGCTTAGGCTTTTATATATAGATAGATAGATAGATAGATAGGCATCATTGTAAAGGTACTACAGAGGAGTGATCCAGAAAGTGACCTGTCATCTAGGGTAGGGGTTCAAAATGTTTCAATTTCTCTTTTAGTCCTTTATTTTATTGTGCTAAGAATACTTCACATGAGATTTACCCTATTGACAAAATTGTAAGTGCACAATATGTATTGTTGACTATAGGTACAGTGTTGTACAGCAGATCTCTAGAGGTTATTCATCTTGCTCAATTAAAACTCTAAACCCATTGAACAGCAACTCCCAGTTTCCTTCCCCCAGCCCCTGGCAGCCATCATTCTACTCTCTGCTTCTACAGGTTTGACTGTTTTAGATTCCTCATATAAGTGGAATCATATCTAAACTTCCATGTTCATTGAAGCCATATTTATAATAACCAAGATAAGGAAACAACCTAAATGTCCACTGATGGATGATAGAAGAAAATGTGGTATGTGCATATAATGGAATAGTGTTCAGCCCTAAAAAAGGAGATCCTGTCATATGTGACAACATGGATGAGCCTTGAGGACATTACGCCAAGTGAATAAGTTAGACACAGAGGACAAATATGGCATGATTACTACATGTGTTCTTTCTTGTTCACCATACAGTCCAGTGAGCTGGTGCTAATTTGCATGGCTTCCTTGAAGCCTGTGTTGAAAAACCTACTTGGATAAAGCAAAGCGTCCAATTGCACGTCATGCCCATTCTCTGTAAGAGGCAACTTGAGGTTGCTTTCCCAGAGTTACAAATCCAAGATGGTTAAGTTCAGAGCCAACATTGTGCAGACAAAAATAGCCTTTATGTGCTGGGTTTCCTGTTTTTCTTGGAGGCTGTTTGCTGAAAACCACTACCTCCTTCCCATCTGTCCCTTCCTTCTATGTGCCCACCCTGGCCCCCACCCAAAGAGTTCATGTTTAATGACCCGAGACATGACCACCAGGCATTTTCAGTCAATTGGCTTTTGTAGAGAGTGAATGAATCAGACTTTTCTCTGGCCTTCTCTCTCCTGAAAAGGATCTTCCCAGCCCATTGGAATGTGCTCTGCAGACTAGGAATTAAGCTCTTCTCTTTGTCTTATTTCTTCCTTCAATCTTTCCAAGATCAGACACAAGCTGGTGGCCTTGCCCCTAATTGGGACTTTATATTCTTTCAAGTTTATTTCTCATTCTCTTATGGACCAACTTTCCCTTCACATAGAGAGTTTGAACACACTTGGAGATATTCAGTGAGGATGCTTTGTTTCTTATTTCTTTACGCTTCCTCATTCTGCATGAAATCCATGCAGGTGCCCCCTTCGCCTCTTAATGAAAAACTTGAGTCTCCTTAATCATCTGGGGGTTGGGGAGACATTGGAGATTGGAACACTCTGTTCTTGTGTCTTGCAGAATGGGGGAGACAGAGTTGGGCGGCTTACCTGTGGGTGGCTTAAGCACTGAAGAGATCCAGCTTTGGTTTAAATGATGCTGGAGCAGTAAGTTAAATTTGCCCACCACTCATGTGTATTTTCTCCTTTCTTCCCACAGGACCCACACCCAAGTCCGCTGATCACCCTGGAGACCCAGGTCAGTACCTTCCCATGGTCGTTGTCACTTATCTCTGCACTGATGTCCCTGTATCAGTTCTCCTGGGCGCATCTGTGCATCCTCTTGGCTCCATGGCTCGGAAAGCCTGGACAGACACAAAATCTGTCCTCCTGTCCTGTTGGCATGTGCATGTACTCACATGTGCACACACACAACAGCTGATTGTGTATGTGTGTGCACACACGTGTGTACCCAGGTGTCTGAAAGCATCATGGGAGGTAGAAGAGGTTATGGGGGGGATAAATGGTGATGGAAGGAGACCTCATTTGGGGTGGTGAACACATAATACAATATACAGATGATTGTACACCTGAAACCTATATAATTTTACTAATCAATGTTACTCCAATAAATTCAATTTTATAAAGAAAGGAAGAAAGAAAACACCACAGAAAGAAGGAGGACAGGAAGGTCAGACGTTGTTGGGAGAGAGGATTCTCAGGGTTTCTCTGTGTTCTTCTGTCCTCAGATTTCCCAGCATACACTTTTAGTTATATTGGCTTTAGGGGTGACCAGACCACAGAGCTGGCAGGAAAGAGCAATGGGTGGGAGTTCAAGGGGCTTAGGACCCAGTTCCTTCTGCCTGTTTGGTCATCCTCTGGCCTGGCTTTTCCACATTCCTTTATTCACTTATCACCTGAGCCATGTTTGCCATAGATCAATTACACCTGTTCTATCACATCACCTAAATACACATTTTTCCTTAAATTAATTTTTTTTTTACTTTCAGAAGTAGACTGATCTTAAGCTAATGGTTCCCAATCAGGGGTAGCTTTGGCCCCCAATGGGCATTAGGCCATGTCTGAAGACATTTTGGGTTATAGCCCCTTGTGGGATGGGTTACTACTAGCAACTAGTAGGTGGAGACCAGGGATGCTGCTAAATATCCCCCCGTGCACAGGACCTCTGCCTAGGAAGGAATTATCTCGCCTAAAATTGCCAGTGGTGCCAAGCTTGACAAACGCTGTCTCCGGCAAAAATATCCGTGCAATCACAAGTTTGGCGTGCTAGTTAAGTTTCTTTTGCAAAACATTAAAATCAATATTAAATCAATAAAATTTAAAAGTTCCTTTGGGTGGCCTCTAAAAGCATCGAAAGGTACTCCTTTAGATGTAGGTGTTCTGCACTTTGGGAAATGGGTCTCTCCCCAGGCTACCCAGCGGATTGTGAGCGAACTTCCAGGGCATTTTAAAAATGATGGCTCTTCTCTTCTTTACCAGTTCCCCCCCACCAGGAAAACTCATTAAACTCAGGAACACCCCCTGGGAAAATAGTCTGTGTCCAGAATTCTAGAAGCCAAATCTCACTTCCTGGGGGTGGCCTGGCACTACCCCCTATGGTCTGTCCTTGGCCCTCCTGAGCCCTTCACTATGGAAACCGGCTAATCAGCCCTTCAGAACCTCCATGGGAAAGAACAGTCACGTGCCAGTGGCTTTGGCCGGCACACTGTGAGTGTGACAGCTCACCCCTACCCAGTGACCTCTCTTAGAGTCACAGCCATGACCCAGGGGGCCCGACCCTCGCGCTGCAGCCGGCCATGGCACGAGACGGGCTTTCTGCATTTGTGCCACGCCCCTGGAGAAATGACTCAATTTGTCCCCAAACAACACTCCATCAGTCTCATCTGGTTCTTGGTCTCTGGGGAGCCGTCGGAAGTTGTTGTCTTTCCCCAACTTCTGGTTTCCCATGTTAAAGAGACACTGGAATCCAACCAAAGTGCAGTTTTTTTGAACTGTTGGCACAAGCCTGTGGCCAGATCTTACTTTGTGCTGGGCCTCAGCCCATCGTGTGAGTCACGACGGGACCCTATTCAGCTGCCGCAGGCAGGTCAGACAGGAGGGGCAGGGAAGCGTCTTCTGGCAGAAAGTGGTGCCCCAGATATTACCCACATGGCACGAGCAAGATGGCAGCTGTGCCTGAGCTCGGAAGAGCCAACCACGCAGAGGAAGTGGCAGATGTGCTTGCTCTGAGCCCTGGTCAGCGCCCATTTCCTTCCCTCCCAGCGCGCCCTTTACTCCTAAGAAAGGCGTGACCTGCTCCATCCTGAAGCGCCGGTGCCACAGGTGAGCCTGCCTTTTAGATTTCACTGCCAGCCACGTCCCTACACCACACGCCAGTGACTTCACTTGTGCAGGGCCCAGCCCGCATACAGTCAGCGGGCCACCCAGGGGCCCTTCCCTCCATGCACCCCCTCTCTTCCGGGTGTGCATTGCCTCGTCCCTCCCCGGTGCTTGGCGAATCTGCCCCATGCAGCTGTTCTGAGTTGGGGGAGATGGATTGATGGGCTGCCAAGGACTCCTCTACGCTCTGCTCTTTGCCGTTAGCACAGCAGAGCTTTGCATCTGTTGGCATCAGCAGGACTCTCTGCTTAACGGCCAGATTAATAGAATGAGGAAGCTGAGGAAGGTTGAAATCCCTGGTGTCAGCTTTCCCCTCAGCGGGCAGCCCCTGGGGGGCACCAAGGAAGCCTGACTGCAGTGGTGAATGCTTCCCTTGTCCCAGATGGTGGTTACCCAGGAACCAGGTGACTTAGAAAGGAAAAAAAAGCCTGAGAAGAGTTGGAATTTGGTTATCAGCTTGCTGGCATTATCATGATCCCCACTCTCACTGACGTTCGCCAAGAACTGGCTTCTCCCATTGGATCCCCTCAGTGCCCTAATTACATAGGTGCTCTCGTGATCCCCAATTTCCAGACAAAGAACAGAGGTTACGTAATTTGTCCAAGGTTGCACAGGAAGGATATAGTGTTGGAGGGTGTCAGACTCAGAGCCATATGCCATGAGAATCTATCTTCTCAGCCTCTAACCCATTTCTCCAGTTGTCTTGACCAGTAGAAGAATTTGCTAGTGCTCAGGCAGAGCTAGAGGGCCGGGCTTGATGTAAACTGCCTAAGGTCCATGGGAGGGAAGGAAGGAAGGAAGGAAGACAGGAAGGGAGGGAGGGAGGGAAGGAAGGAGGGAGGGGAAGAGAAAAGAAAGATGCTTTCCACAAGTACCCACAGATGTACTTAAATAGGAAGAGTAATAGGTAGATGGTGAATGTAGATCTATAGATAAATAGATACAGTGCTCCACACAGTGAGTAGTTCTTTTTTTAAAAATTTTTTTCTAATATATTTTTATTGATTTCAGAGGAAGGGAGAGGGAAAGAGAGAGAGAGAAGCATCAATGTGAGAGAGAATGATTGATTATTTACCTCCTGCACGCCCCCTACTGGGGATCGAGTCCGCAACCCAGGCATGTGCCCTTGACCGGAATCGAACCTGGGACCCTTCAGTCCGCAGGCCGACGCTCTCTCCACTGAGCCAAACCGGCTAGGGCACAGTGAGTAGTTCTTTGATAGATAGGTTGCCATAGGACTGGTGGGTAAAGTGGTTTAAGCAAAGGACCCAATACAAAATTTATTTGCAAGCAGCAAAAATGAAACATCTCCTTGTGCATCAATAGTGTTGTGGAAAATTTGAATTCTCATTCTTTGGTTCTCTCTTTCTCATTGACCCCCCGGATGGTCTATCATTTCAGAATCCACTGCAATTGACAAGGCCTCTTGTCATTTAATTTTAGCTGCTCTTCCTCCCTTCTCCCCAGCAGCTTCACTGTCAATTAGTTACTGGCCTCT